CGGCGAATCCATAACTAATGCAGAACGTTACCTTTGTTATTTACAGTGTACAGCCGATCACAGGAAATGCTTCCACATATATCTCTAGCAGCAAAAATTTGTTGCTACAGGTAGTACATACGTATAAATGCAAATGGCCAATAAATTTAACTTTGATACCAACAGCATTAACTGCCCTTACTTTAAAGACACAATTAGCTACCACAACTATACATTAACTCCTATACTAATCCTTCTTTTTCGTGTATAATCTTACGCTTACATACACACACATACAAAGGACTCCGCAAGAATCTTATGGAAAATGCCCTTCGGTCAAATGCCCTGAAACTGTGCTATTTTATAGTTTTAGTCATGCCGATCAAAAGTCTTCATAGGCCGAAGCCTTGAAAATGGACAATTTTTTTGCTATGGCATCCTGAATATGACGGTTATTGCGTTTATGTATATGTAAAATGCATGAATTTCCAAAGCCTTTCTGTATGCATTTTTTTGTAGTGGGATTCAATTTTTAGAATTGATTATTGGGAGTTATGATGTTGTTGATTACGCATCTGCTGTTAGTGTTATCAAAAATTCAAGATGGTGGACCCAATATGGATCTGTTGTTACTTTTATAACATGAAAGAGGCATTTTTTAAGGTGATATCAATATTGGTAGTTTTCGATGATACCGCCGGCGTAGCGTGAGCGTGTGTGTGTGTGTGTGTGTGTGTGTATGTGTGTGTGTGCGCATGTTGTGCTAGAGATTTATTACAATGTACAAAAAAAAAATAAAATCCAACATTTATTATTATTACATATTATTTCTTGATTTAAAACATCGTTATTACATATTTAATAACGATAATATTGAAATTCAACATTATTGTACCATAGATTTACTTCACAGACACATATTAATGCGTATACTTTAATTCTGTAAAAGAATTTTCGAATCTGTGAATGATAAAAAAAAAGTATTTACGATACGAAAATTATGTAGTTTAGTCGGTAATACGGACGACTTTAGGATCACCTTAAAGAAGAAAATGCAGTTAAGATGTAGATTATCAAGAGACACAGTATATATCTGCCTTGTACCAATTAAACTCACAGCGTGAGATTGTGAGATATTGTATAGAATAAAAAAAAATAACAAAAAATCAAGGATACAAGATTAGGTATATATGAATGAGGTATATATGTATTATGTTAATTTAAAGATGAACATTAAACTACATTCGTTTCTTTTATGTAACATTCACTTATTATATTTTGACTAATCCGTGAATGCTGTACATATGGTATACAGTAATAAGACGTTTTGGCTTTTGTGGATTGTCTGCTTTCTCTCATTTTATACCTTTGACTAAAATTTATTAACTTTCTGTTTCGACATTGACTGATCAGCATATTAAGAACCGTTTTTTAATTAATATTATAGTATTGTTTACGAAGCGGTACTTTGTAATCGTGGTGAGTTTCTTTATTCTCGGGATGATTTATTATAATCTTAGTTCTTTGGAAATCAGTTTTCACAATTTATTATTTCTGATATTTCCAATTTTTCTGTTTTTCTTCTTTTTCTTTTTCATCCATTTAGTTTTGTCTATTATTTATTCTGTATCTTAATTATCACGACGTGGAGGAGCTCACCGTTGATTGAAAAATTGTATTGATTAGTTATGTAAATTAGTTTGTTTCTCTGAAGAGGGCTAAAAAGTTAGCCGAAACATGTAAGAGCGCTACTATCATAATAAAAGAGCGTTATTCGAATAAATGGTTTTTATCACTTTATTAGAGATGTTTTTAATTGCGCAACGTCTTCTGCGCCCGACTCCTATTGCCCTTTATTCTCTCCAACATATAAAATAAGATATAGGGGTTTCTAGCAGTTTTAAAAGTTACACCTTTTACAATCTACACACTTATTACACTTTTAGTTGAGTCACACTATCAAGAGATCTGCCTTATGCCAATTAAACGCATAGCGTGAGATTGTGCGATATATATTGTACAGAATAAGTATAAATAACATGTGTATGTAATTCTAGATGTTACAGATTTATAGGTATTCTTCTCACTACGATAATATACACCATAATGGAAATACATAAGGTAAATCATTTCCACGGATGCGCAGTAGCCCGAAAGTAAGAGGGAGCAGATAGCCAATCACATTGTCCTATTTCTTAAAAATCTAAAGTGACTGACGATATGCTGTCACTAGAGACAATCTAACGCAATTTCAGTTCAGAGTTCAGTTTGAGGATTAACAATTACTTATCCTTTAATTTCTAGTATTGATTGTATCTACACATATATTTACGTTTGAACACATGACGTTTTTCGCGCCATATTCGCATTCAATCTCTCTTCTCTTAACGACAGTGTGTCGCTTGTACCTCTGTAAAGCATCTTGCAATAAAGACATGTATTATTACACGAGTACTTCTTATTCCGTTTTGGGATTAAACTAACTTAGGATATTGGACTAACGTGCTCACAAAGATATGCAAACGAGTGCTATCTGACATTTAAAATATGAATCAAACAACATTTCTAAGAACGATGATGATGATGATGATCGCAATATCTCCATTCGTAGAATATGTAGGTCATAAAAAACAATTTTATTATAAATTTAAATTTCTAAGTAAATTGAGAATACTGAGAAGTCGATTAATTCAGTCGATTATTGTGAGATCCGATAATCTTAGGTGTTCACCGACTCGCGTAAATATACGGTAACGATACGATCTCGCTTCGCATTCATTTGGCGCGAGACACTACTGTGATTTAAAATTAAAAGGTTGAAAGTTTTATGTATTTCGAAATTTTAATAATAAAGTCAACTGTCAACCTTAGTATTTGAAATACGAAACTCAAAATATTGGAATCTTTGGTATTGAAATATAAAATGCTTTTACATACTCCTATTAAATATAATAATTTATATACCAAACATTTACATATTTTTTGCTAAAATACAAAATACAAGATGCAATTGTCCTAATACAAATATCGTTTTTTAAATAAAAGTATTTCAGATACATATGCTCAGCCCTGTCACTAAGGGCCAATTTCACCAACGTCGGTTGAGCTAACCGACGGTTAAAGTGTCAACCGTGATTGGTTCATTCTGGTCAAAGGCAAATGCGATTGGATAATTCCATTGGAATTAACCGTCGGTTAGCTTAACCGACGTTGGTGAAATTGGCCCTAAGTCTACGGTAAACATAAATATAAAGGAAACAAGTTTTATACTCATTCTCATTATAATGTCAACACTATGAGATTGTACAGTTATTACAATTTGTAAGTACCGACAATATTATTTGATATAAGTTTTTTTGACTGACATACAAATGTCGGTAGTAAAATGAATACGAATGAGGTTTCCTCTTGCAAGTCAATGTTAATAAATGCACTTCTACGACTAGCAAAGAGAAGGGTGAAGATCTATTGGCGTTTAACTTTTTTGTGAATTCGTGACATTTTTTTCCGTAATCGTTGTTATGATATCCGAATAGTACGAATAACTACCATTGCGCAAAGCGTAATTCAAGTTTTTTGCAAACGAAAATATATATTTAAAAACGGTCGAAATTTTGTATAAATTGTGTGCAATGTAGATTCACAACTATTTTATGATGCGAACTTGATATAAGGTCTGTTCGCGTTGCTTGCACTTTTTGCACTTACGATTTTCGCTTTCTCTCTTTTTAACGCCGAATATATATCTATCTCATTTTAAGTGCAAAATTATTTGAGGATTTCATGCAACGCGAACAGACCTATAGTGTCTCTTTTTCGATTTTATATGCAGTTTGCAATTTTGTATGCAGTTTACGCAACAATTTGACTATTGATTGTTCTCTGAATCTATTTCCTACAATAAATATTTGACAAACTTTTATTTTGCAAAAGACTATCTGCGTTATTTCACTGTTCTCGTTATACATTTTCGAAGTCAAGGTGATTATATAAAACGTAATTTTTAATTTATATTCTAATAAATGAAATCATGGTAATTTGGACCATGAGGAAATCCATTGGAGGACACAAAAACTGGGTAAATGTAACAATTTAACAATTATTGATGCTGTTTACCTCGCCACTGAATGCCAGAGATCCGGGTTCAACTCCCGGCCGAGGTAATATTTCTCGCAATGAAAAATTAATTATTTACAGTTTTTAATAGGTTATTCAACATTGGTCAGATTGATAAGATATGTAAATAACATCAATAATTGTTAAATTGTAGTCAATTTAATAACTCTTTTATTACTGCGGTAGTTTATTAGTATTACATTTCAAGTCTAAAATAATTTCGGTGCGCAATCAAAGAATTACAATTCGTAGTATATATTATAAATTCACAAGCGCAATTATTTAGAAGCATTCGTTTCTAAGTATTAGGTAGCTTAGATCATTGTAGCATTCTCTCATTCGGTTTTAAATAACTTTATTTTAAATACAACCAAACTGTATGTGAATAATGAAGGGTTAAAATAGCAATTAACATCGAATAAAGCGTTTTAAATGTTGAAAGTTTAATTTTGAAATTTTTTATCGTTTTCAGCATAGATTCTACCTCACAGATACGTATTAATGCGTATACTTTAATTCTGTGAAAGGATTTTCAAATCTGTGAATGACAAAAAAAGTATTTACGATACAAAAATTATACGATTTTGTCGGTAATATAGAGGCCTGTAGGGTAATTTAGGATCTCTTTTAAGGCGATGCTGGACCCGCCTGTATTATCGACGAAAACAAGCGTTTTTGATGTTTTCGTCGATAATACAGGCGAGTCCAGCATCGCCTTAATCTTAGAAAAAACTTTCGACAGCAAAAAAGTATTATGAGTAATAATACTTTTTCATTATATCAAATAATTTACACTTTTTGACCAACAACGAAGATATGTAGGTATCTTTCATATACATAATTTGAAGTTGAATAAACACGAAAGTAGTAAGCACAGGTTACTTGGTTAAATCGTCATTGATTGTCTACAAATCATTATTAAATTTCTGAAGTAGTTCAATTATTCCATCGAATACTAGAGTTTTAGCGTTAATGGCGATTATAAAATCGAAATGGTTAAATAATTTATTTTCCTCCAGCAGAATGACATTCGGTAGATGCTTATATATTTCAAGGGTATTCTAGAGAAACATAGTATGCAAGACGATAAAATTAATAATAATAGTTTAAAGAATACAAGCAATTATTTTTTATGGTAATTTTTATATAGAGTTAGTGAGAGGGGGGAGGGGGAAGAAATGCCACACTTTACCGAAATTAGTTTTTTAAATAATTAAATAATTGTTCATTTTAAAGTAATTTTACGTACTGATCTTCTTCCATCTTTTATCTATTATTTGTTTATGATCGCAACCAAATATTTTCATTTTCTGTTATTAAAACGAAAGAAATAGGAAAATGTTGAAAAATGGATAAAGTGTCACCAAGTATATGCAGTATGTAATAATATGCCACATAAAAAGGTGCTAATTACAACATTACATTGTTTTATTTATTGCAAAAACACAATTATAAATAATTTTTAAGATATAACAGTAAATATTTGTAAGATGATAATAACTTCAATAGATTAAGTTATACAACCTGTAAAATAAACATTGTGACATAGCAATAAATAAATGTTTAGGTTTATTTATTAATTATTATTCGTTAATACATATTTCCTGTCACAATGGGATTATGCGGCAAAACGTTTGTTTATAGCGCTTTAACCTACATTGGAGAAAAGTGGCTACTGGCATTTTATCAACAAAAATAGATGGCACATTTCCCTAAGACGTCATTTTATCTTATGATGAATTTATACAATTCGATTGTTAAGAAAATTAATCAATGACGTACTGAATAATTTTATTTTAACCTATATTAATAGATTAACAAGCTCATCGAGTTAAACATCGTATAACACTTAAATAATAATTTACATAAAACACTACGAAAGTTATATGAAGCACATTTTCATACACTATGCTGTCATATTTATCTCATAAAGACAATGTTATTGTCAGGAAATTGTTAATGCTTATACAATACATTAAGGGGATGTTAGAGTCATCTGTGTATTATCCGATAAAACTAGCGTTTTTGACGTTTTCATTCCTGTCTGATTTCTTCGTAATAGTTTCGCAGAATAAAAATGTCTTCTCCACGATTTAAATATTTAAGCCAATGTATCCTTCCCCTGATGTATTTTGTGTCCAAAGCTAGAAAAAGTATGAAATCATAGATTTCTTTATCTATTCAACCTCAGTATGGCGATCAACGCTGAAGATAAAAATGGATAAAAAAATTTGTAATTTCATATTATTTCCAGCTTTGAACATAATAATATAAACCAGGGCCAAATACATATTAGCATGAATATTTAAATCATGGAAGAGGAATTTTTATTCTGCGAAACTATTACGAAGAAATTAGACAGGAACGAAAACGTCAAATTGCTAATTTTATTGATAATACAGGCGGGTCTAGTATCACCTTAAACACACTGCAAACAATTTTGCGAGACACTGACGCAAGCGTTACTAATCGGTAACACTGTTAAACAAAATGAGTGACATATTTCAATTGCGGTATACTACCCGTAGTTACACAAATAATACAATATAGATTGAAAAAATGAGAGAGGAATAAAAAAAGAAAAAAGGAGAGAAAAAGATAAGTAAGAGGAAATTAGCAAAAAATAATGCAACATTACAAAAAATATATATATTGCATATATTATACGGTTCAATTTTTAAAAAATTCAAGATAATTTTAAATTTACACTTTCTCCTCTTTCACATACACACACGCGCGCGCGCACACGCATACACGTATGCACCGAATGTCCCATTTTAATTTTGACATTGAAATATCTCAAAAATTTTATAAAAAATACGGAAAAATATTTCAAACAAAAAGTAGTAAGATTTAAAGAGGTATGTCTACTGATTATATCCGTTTGATATTGTGTGGCGTTGCCAAGTTTAGGGGGCAAGGTTACTTTAAATTTTTTAAATAAAATCCCCCAGATTTTATTGCATATTATTATAGTTCTTCCTATGATTTTTCCAAAATATTATAGTTCACTTTGGGTCAGCCGTCTTAAAGTTATCGAGATTTTTTTAAGTTATTGTTTTAATTTTGGCAACGTCATCCAATGTTAAACGGATATAATCAGTAAGTAGACCTTTTTAAACACTACAACTTTTTTCAGAAATATTTTTCCAATAACCAACACTTTTTCTGAGATAATCAGGTGATCTGGGACTTTTGCCCCACTTGTACGTGCGTGCGCATGCGCGCGCGTGTGTGTGTGTGTGTGTAAAAAAAGTATTTTCGACTTTTATTGAAGTTAATTGTAGCTTGCACGAAACAGATAAAGCATGTTATAAATATAATATAGTACGTATTATATATGCTATATACACATGTCGATAATTAAGAAAATTTTATTTCATTCTTTAATATATATTTTTTAATCAAAAGATGTTTTTATATAAAAGTCAAAAGTAAACTTACCGCTTTTGTAGCAATCAAATCGTTATTGCCATAATATATAGCCATAGGTGCAGTAATTTTGGTAAGGTTATATATTATGGGGGTATTTTGTCCGTAGTGCTTATAATTGCCAAAATATCCATGATCATATGCTTGAAATTTTTCTGCAACAATCATTATTAATTATCTATTCTATGTACATAAAATTAAAATTAAAAATATTGAAAATTTTATTTTATTTTAAGTAAACATTAGATATTACGTTATCATAAACAACGTGCTAAAAGAATTAATCAATATTGGAATCAATATTTATTATAGTCAGGGCTCGGTCGTATTTCGAATAAATTTATTTAAAATATGTATTTAAAATAATGAAAAAATTAGAAAATTATTTAGTATTTATTATTTTGAACAACTTCTCTTGACATATTTCTTGTTCAATATTTGAAATAAGTTTTTAGAACCAATTATATATATTTAATTCGAATAAGTAGTATCACTCGTTTAACTCTTTGATATTTTAAATAATTGAACAATATTCTGAAATCTATTTTTTATTTAAAATAAATCATATCATAATATTAATTATCATTCTATCAAGAGTATCAAGTTATTATATTAATTAGAGGCTATAATTATAAAAAAACTGAAATAGTAAAATCTGAGATGTGAAGATGTCAAATGTTATAAACTTATTTAATGTATACTCAAATGTATGCTAAATGTTCATCAGTTCATATCAAAATAAACAAAATTATTAAAATATTTTGTATTTCCTATTTATAACGTTTATTTAAAATACATCAGGAGACGCGGTAGCGTCTCCGGCCATGTTCAAAAACTCTGAGACGCTACATATTTCTTATTATTTTATATTTTAAATTATTTTTTAAATGTACTTAAAATAAAAAAATACTTATTTGAAATAAAAGCACAAGCTATCTGACATTTTAAATAAAAGTTGTTGTGCATTTCAAATAGATGGGATGCATTCTAGAGTCCTATTTCTTATTTTATATTTTTATTAATTTCTTGAAACCTATTTCTTATAATATTTTACATAAATTTTTGGAACCTATTTTATATTTATTATTTCGAATAAGTCGTATCACTCTTTTGTCGACTCCTATGATTTTATATTTAAAATAAGTTTCTGGAATTCATTTTTTATTTTTTATTTTAAATAAATCGTATCAGTTATTTTACCGAGCCCTGATTATATTATTAATAAGAAGATATTAGAAAAGGGTGGAACTAAAAATTTATATTAATATTATACACAATATTTTTTAGATGTTGTCACACATATTTATTTCTTTTTAAATAACACAATATTTTATTAAATCAAATACCGGAGATATAAAGACTACCGATTTAGACTACCGAGGCTAGTCTAAAGACACTCGCACGGAATGCCAGAGATTCGACTTCCGGCTGACGTAATATTTTTCGCAATGAAAAATTAATTATTTACAGTTTTTAATAGGTTATTTAACATTAGTAAAACCTATATAAGATAAGTAAACAGGATCAATAATTGTTAAATTATTGATTAATTTAACTCGTGATATTACTACGATAGTTTATTATAGTATTGCGTTTCAAGTTTGAAAAAATTTCGGCTCGCAATTAAAGAATTGTATACGTACTATACAAAGTCTCTCACACGCAATTATTTAGAAGCACTCGTGATCCTGCTTAGACCACTGTGGCATTTGTCTCATTATATTTTAATATACATCACTAATATTAAATCTTGATTCGTTGTCCTTTATCTCTAGTACTTGATTTAATTTTTATTATCGAGTCATTATATTCATTTTATTATAATATTTTATATTGTTTTATATTTTTTAGGGCTAAGAAATACTCACTTGCAATTATATTTTGGAAATAATGATCTACTAATTGTACAGAAGATCCTGCCGGATAATTCGAAAATATTGTTGGCATCATCGTCTACAACAAATGTTTCACTAAAGAGATACTGTATGTTTAACATACAGTAATATAGAAAAATGTAAATTATATTGTGTGTAATTTGTAATTTTTAGTCTCTAAAGGAGTGACAATTAAAGGATGTTACAATTAGCAAAACTGTATTAAAATTGAAGATGTATAAAAAACAAGATAATTAACAGTATTACAGTATTAAGTTGCACTGGATCGTATCCGGCTAATAGGTATATTGCTGCAACACAGACAGCCTGAGTAATTGTATTATCTACACACAGCGTTCTTGCCATCTTAATACCCATTGATGTTAAAGTTAATATTTCATATATTTCATTGGAATCAAAAATTTCCTAATAATCAAATATATTTATATCAGTATAAAAAATGTAAATAGGAGTGAAGAGATATAATAAAATCGTATAAGATACGTAACATAAGTAATAAAATATTATTCTGCTAATAAAAAATATTCTTTTATTAGAATAATATTAAAGCAAAGAGAGAACATATATACATATGTATATCTAATATTATATCTTTATTTCTCTCTCAAAATATAATTTTGATATCTTTTTACCTTTAAACTTGGTGTCATATTAGATAAATATTTCATTGCAGGAGATACTTCTTTCCATATGGCAATCGGAGCAAAGCAGATTCCTAGTTTTATTTTTGCATTATATTCGGGCTTCATGGATAATAGAATAAATAATACGGTACCTCCCATTGAGATACTAACAGAATGCATAGTTTCTTGATTTGTATAATTAAGTATATAGTCAATCATAGCAGGAAGGTCCCTCGTTCCTATTTCGTGATGACTAGACAGTAAAAGTAAAATAAATATATTTTATTGTAATAAATAAGTAAAAGATATATATA